TCAACAGAATCTCCTTCTCTAAACTATATTGAACTGTTAAAAGCCTTATTTTTAATAATCAGATGCTAGTAATGAAAGTAAGACCAACAATATTTCAATTTTCAGGTGGAAGAACCAGATGATTGGCTAATAATCAGATACTATTAATGAAAGTAAGACCAACAATATTACAATTTTTGAGGTGGAAGAGCCAGATGATTGGCTAATAATTAGATGTTAGTAATGAAAGTAAGACCAACAATATTAAAATTTTTCAGGTGGAAGAGCCAGATGATTGGCTAATAATCAGATGCTAGTAATGAAAGTAAGACCAACAATATTAAAATTTTTCAGGTGGAAGAACCAGATGATTGGCTAAGGTTTGGTAATCCATGGGAAAAAGCTAGACCAGAGTACATGCTGCCTGTTAATTTCTATGGACGAGTGGAATGCACAGGAGAAAGAGCTAAGTGGGTGGATACACAGGTAAATCTGAAGTCATTTTTAAGGTGTGATTTGTTTTTATATTTTCTCACTGTTGTTGGGATCAAAGATGAAAATGTCCCTTTGAAAAAAATGTTTTTTATTTAAACATAAGCTTGTGAAACTTTAAGTATTTCTAGTTTGAAGCCTTTGCATGGTGATATGGATTAAATGTTTTTCAGAATATAATGAGAAACAATTTCCTATAACTGATGTATGCTTTAATTGTATCAAACCAAGGGCGGATACAGCCCCCCCCCCCCATTTTGAAAATAAAATCAAAATAATTGCAAAAATTGGATCTTTGAAGAGGAAGAATGTAGTGAAATTTCACATTAAATTAAAAAAAAGCAATAACAACAACATCTAGCAAACTTTATAACAAATGTAAATACCCCATTTAAACCCTACCAGGGAAGTCCTGAAAATTCCTTGTTTACATTCAGGATCCTTGCGCCTCCCCATTTTCAAAATCCTGGATCTGCCACTGCAAACTGTGTTATTGTCTTAAGATACATGGAATTTGTTATGGCTATTTATTAAATTTAAACATGACTGATGTATCATTTCAGTACAATACCATGCAAATTTAGTGTGTGTGTGTGTGTGTGTGTGTGTATATGTACACGAAATACTGTTTATGTGATATTTTACTATTTTGTTTTGAAAATCTAAAAGCTGATGTACAGCAGCAGTTCAAACAGACTTAAACAGTTGAGGAATGTCTTGTTGGTTAAAACTCAGTTTAGATGTGTCACTACTGGTTAAAATTTAAATTTAGTATCTAGCATTTGAAGTGGTAAACTTATAAATGCATGGTGATTATACATGAACACATGAAATCCTGCTAAACTGAATACATTAATTAATTTCATTGCCTGCAGTACTTGTAACACATTTTTAGATGCATTGCATAAAATGTTTATTAAAGAAAACATTATAAAATGTAAGTTTTAATTAAGTATAAATTTTATAAATGTCTCTGTTGGAATTATTAAAAACTTGTCATATTTTTTTACACATTAAAAATAATTAGTCAAGAAAGACCAGCAATTTTATAGTGTTGAAATGTTTTTTCAGTATGTTACTTATTAAACCTTTTTTCAGTCTATTTAACAAGATTCTCTAGTTACAGAATCTTTCCTATTTTTCCTTGAAAGGGATACAGGGTGAGTTTCACTTTAGTTCATACAAGATAAATGCTAAAGAACAGTTGTGGGAATCACTTTTCAGTTCTTTATTTATCCCATGTTGGATTACTCTATTCAACACAATCAAATGTTTGATTAGGAGACAGTCAATACTACACCGTCTTTCAAGAATATGAGGTCAGTTATTAAACATCATAACTGGAGACCATAGAGAGGTCATTCACTAAGGTGAAGTAGAAGTCCCAGGAAATGTCCACCAAACTGCACACCTTTATTGGATCTTGGACCAGATAAGAGCAAACACAAAGAAAAGATAAATTTGACCTGATAAGTTAAATTGAAAGGATTCATCTGATATTCTTGAGAGGTTTAATGCTAAGATAGCATAGGAAATCTTTGGTAAGATATACAGAGGGCACTGCTTGGATACTGACTTAATGGAAGTGACAGTCTTTGCAATATGCATGTACACTTCTGTGCAATTAGTGGTTATGAAACACTTAAACTTATTATGGTCCATGGAATTGTGATGTACTAATGAGAAGCATGCAAAATGATGCTACAGGCAAACACTTAAAGCACATTATACTTCAAAAGATCTCTTTTATATTGAAGGTGAAAGTAGGTTTTTGGAGGAAATTTCATTCAGTTTGTGGCATAATATATATACATGTGTGTTTTAGTCTGGTTGTTCAAATAGTGCTTCATTGCAGATGCAGCTATGCTTTTGGATTATATTTTCTTTCTTATAATATGATGTTCAAATTATGTAACATAATCAAGAGGAAGAGTTTTTATATCTAAACATCACTGACATTTTATAATAATTGTAAAGACAATTTGTAGCTTAATTCATGATTTGTAAGACAAGTACAGAATTACAAGCTTCACAATTAGATTTTCTTGTCAAAAATGAGAAAATAAACAGAAAACTAAATGTAGTCTTAAACACTTTAATTAATTGTCTGTGCTTAGAATTGTATGAAGAATGTTTCATAATATAGACAAAATGTTATGAACCTAAAGTCTTATTTACAAACAGATTTGGACAATTTTGAGTAGATATAAGATGTGTTAACAGGCTATTTATCAGATCTTAGTATACTCAAGGAAGATATTCCAAGAAACACTTATCAAGAAATCAGCACTGCATAGCATCTATCACTGATTAACTTAATTGGTTATACATAAACTGCACTGTACTATCGAAGGAGAGTCTGCAAGTCCACAATAAACAACAAAAGTCTTGAGCTGTGTTTATAGATCATTTTGAAACCAGATGGTGATTTTTATAATTTTTTTGAATCTATAAATATTACTTAAAACTAAAATTTTACATACTTTGGTTTCATTGGATAAAAACAGCTTTTGTTTTGCAACTTTAACTATCATACAAAAATAAGTACAAAGATAAGTTCAATCTAGAGTAAATTAATACTGTCTAATCATGATTTAATGCTGAAAGTTTAACCACTTCATCCAAGAGTTATAAGTAATTTAGTATTTGGAGAGTATTTTGTATAGCTCGTAGCATTAAGAATACTTTGAAATTCATAACTTTCTGTCTAGAAAATACTAATGGAATTGTGATGTGATGATGATGTATTAGTCTTAGTTTTTTTATTATTGTTATTGTTACTGATAGAATTAACTTCTTGGAATATATTGTATTCTTACATTTTCACAACAAATCAATTACACAATGTAGGTATCTTGAAAACTATTTCAGATGAAGTGGAGCATGCATAGGAGAAGTTGCCTACTTGATAGACTTGAATCTGATCCATTCAGATGTGTCTTGTAGTTAGAAACATGTAAACCCTTGAAATGTGATATTTTTATGGTCCATTCCTGGAAAGTATTTTTAAACTTATTATAGAAAAGTAACAAGAAAACCTGTCTAACATACTAGGCTGGTGCATGTAATCTATATCTTAATAGTGAGATGCATCCTAACGTTTTAAAATACCTCCACTAACATCAATGACATGTTTCTCTGAGAACATATAAACTAAATTAAAACATGACTGGCAAGCATTACCAGGTTGATTAATCAAGTTATTAATCAACAAAAAGTGATACATGGATACTTTTAACAGTGTGAGGAAGCAGTTTGAAAATAGAACCCATGGATATCACAGATATTAAAGTATGTGTGGTTTTGGGCATTTTTTGTTACATCATTTATTTTTTATATTGTAGTAGATGTCATGTTTTATATTGGATAATTTTATAAACACATCATCAGAACTTCTAATACAAAACATCAGTGGAGGTAACTTTTAAATTTAAAATCAATCAAACATTGATGTGACCACTGGCATAGCTACAAAACTTGGAACCCCAAGGAAAACTTCAGAAAGGAGCCATCTTTGTCCAAAGATATACACTAGAGGATTAGTGTAGACATTTTTAGAAGGTGCAGTTTATTCCTAGTTAAAACTATGATTATACACTTTTATTTGTGTGAAGTCCTTACAAAGTGTGTGGTTCTAATATAATGGTAACCTAAGTCATTTTAGCCTTTCTCAGCTCATTAACTTTCCTATGTACAACTTGATAATTTTCAGTATTTTCATTGGCAGTATTAGAAATTGCAATAAAGCAGTATGTACATCAGAAAAACTTGATGATATGATATAATACTAGAATTACAAATAAAAAATGGTCTATAAGTTGCTTTCAAAATATCCTTATGTAAAACTGATCAGAAAGAGACATTGGAAAGCTTGTTGCTAATTTTTTGATTGTTGTGCCACAGCAGTTCTGTGGCCTTTTCTTCTATTTTGTAACTAGCATTGCTTAACCATAAATCTGTGTGTAACTGAATTCATTAATTGAAATATTGAGTCAAGTTGTATAATGACAGTGTCTAAGGTATCAATGAAATACTGTTCAACCTGAAGAAATTGTTTCAATCTTTGGTCTTTAGATAACTCATCATGGCATTTTACTGAACTTATGGTGACCCTTATTTTGATCATAAGTAACAATAATAAGTCTCATCCATTAATGCTTTGGCCAAAGATGTAGTAAAGTTTCTGAAGTACCAAGAAAACATTGCTTACTTCTGTAACAGCTTACAGGGTTGAGTTTTATACCCTACTAGTGAGGAAGGTTAATTTTTACAAAGAGACTGATACGGTCTTGCCGACATACCCTGAGCCCTGACACAGTGTGATTGTGATCAACCTGTTGCCACCTGCTAGTAATGCCAGCAACAGGTTATCAAAGAGACTGACGCAGACTTGCAGACATACCCTGAGCCCTGACACAGTGTGATTGTGATCAACCTGTTGCCACCTGCTAGTAATGCCAGCAACAGGTTATCAAAGAGACTGACGCAGTCTTGCAGACATACCCTGAGCCCTGACACAGTGTGATTGTGATCAACCTGTTGCTACCTGCTAGTAATGCCAGCAACAGGTTATCAAAGAGACTGACACAGTCTTGCAGACATACCCTGAGCCCTGACACAGTGTGATTGTGATCAACCTGTTGCTACCTGCTAGTAATGCCAGCAACAGGTTATCAAAGAGACTGACGCAGTCTTGCAGACATACCCTGAGCCCTGACACAGTGTGATTGTGATCAA